ACATACATACATACATACATACATACATACATACATACATACATACATACAACACATACACATACACACACATATATATATACTGTATATATATATAATACATTTTCCTTTAGTAAACTTAAAAACTCAATATCTACATGAACAGCATTGTCTGAGTAGTTAGTTTTGAAAACTAATAATAGCAGTAATCACAATTAATATTCATATCATTGATAATAGTCACATAGTAATAATAAAATTTGCTTGTCCGTACTAATAAACCTTCACTGTACAGTTAATCATTCTCTTAAATCTTTAAGTTTCTAACTTCTGTTTCTATTAACTAACCATTGGTAAAGCAAGTCCCATGTTAAGAAGTATTCTTCCTTCTCCTTTATTTTGAGTATTAGTCTATCCACCTCTGCGCATTCTTTTTTTATTATTATTACACTTTCATCTGCAGGGATCTCTTCCTTTTTTCCATTGTTGCGTAAAGACAATTCTTGCTGCTGTTAACACATGCATTTCATGGTTTTCCAACCCCGTCCAGGTCTCTTAACTGGGCTGTCAGATTTCCAGCTGACAAGCTCAGCATCTTTAACTGCTAGCCATCGCACCCCCTTGCATTAGGAAGTGGGAACACCAACTTTGCAGGAAGAAGAACTCAGTTCAAGCTTAATCCAGTTTTTTTTTAATATTACTTAATAAATATTATTAATCTAGACTGGGAAGCAGGGAGCTTCATCAGAGTTGGGAAAACAATGGCCCTCCAGATGTCACACTTTTTTTATTACTTAATAAAGTAATAATAAAGTTTTTTTAAAAAAAAATTATTTTAACAAAGTATTATTAATCTAGGGTTGGAATGCTGGGAACTTCATCAGAATTGGGGAAATGATGACCCTCCAGATGTTACATTCCCAGCAGCCCTCACCAACAAACTGCTGGGTGTTGCAATTCAGCAAAACCTTGAAGCTATAGAACTCCCCATCTCTACAGGGCATCCCGAAAATAGCAAACTAGAATTTGGGAAGATATTGATGACAGGGAGAAAGGGGTTACAAACCCTTACATAGTGCAGAGGTCTCCAAACTTGGCAACTTTAAGGCCTGTGGACCTCAACTCCCAGAATTCTCCAGCCAGCATAGTACACCAGAACCCGGCTGAACCGGTAGAATACCACCACCTTTCTCTTTGGATCTTCAGGGCTGCCATATTTAGTGCATAGGCATGCTGTGGCATACTGGGAGGGGGTTGCATCGAGCGGGTAGAGATAGCCCAAACAACATCCCTTTCTCTGAGAATCAAAGATGTTCAGCCTGCACCTGAAGAAGCATGACTGGGAAATATCTCCAGTTGGGACTGTGGATTGATTGGACCATGTGATGGACATGTGGGCAGTGGGGGTATTCAGCAGGTTCTGACCAGTTCTGGAGAACCGGTAGCGGAAATTTTGAGTAGTTCGGAGAACCGGCAAATCCCACCTCTGACTGGCCCCGCCCCCATCTATTCTCTGCCTACCATTGAGTCCCAGCTGATCAGCTGGGTCTTCTTTGGTTGCCCTGCACAGGAAACCAGAGCTGGAAAGCAGGTTAGGGAATGGGATTTTGCAGTAACCTTCCCCCAGGAGTGGGGAGGGAGTGGGGATTTTACAGTATCCTTCCCCTGCCACGCCCAGCAAGCCACATCCACCAAACCACACCATGCCCACCAAGCCACTCCCACAGAATCGGTAGTAAAAAAAATTTGAATCCCATCACTGGACTGTGGATGCAGGGGAAGGGACTTCAACTTTCCTTTGGGTGGGGAAAATCCAGGGGGACTTTCAGATTCGGGTTTTCCTAGGTGTGCCAATATGACATCTCTAATAAAATTTAGCTTTGAGGAATTGCCTGCCTCAGAGTCTTACTTGGCTGGGGGCGTTACTTGGAACCCTGACAGTGTGTTCATTTCAAAAGATGTTTTTTTTTTTCACTGACAGTTTGGGGATGGGAAAACAAACCTTTGGGGAACTGCAGTCTGCCTATAGGTAAAGGTTCCCCTCGCACATCCGTGCTAGTCATTTCCGACTCTAGGGGGCGGTGCTCATCTCCGTGACAAAGCCGAAGAGCCAGTGCTGTCCGAAGACGTCTCTGTGGTCATGTGGCCAGCATGACTAAACACAGAAGGTGCATGGAACGCTGTTACCTTCCCACCAAAGTGCTCCCTATTTTTCTACTTGCATTTTTTACGTGCTTTCGAACTGCTAGATTGGCAGAAACGGGGACAAATAACAGGAGCTCACTCTGTTACGCAGCACTAGGGATTTGAACCGCCGAACTGCCGACCTTTTTGATTGACAAGCTCAGCGTTTTAACCACTGAGCCACCGTGTCCCTTCTAGTCTGCTTATAGGCAGAGGCTATGTTTTATTCTACCCACTCTTTGTGTTCAGCATAGCAATGGCGGCAATAACAGGGAAGAGCGTCAAAAAGTACTTACTGGGTGGAGACAAACGATCTTGGGCTTGATAAATCTTGCCATGGACTTCACGTTCACAAGTGTTGCTGAGTTGTCCACCTGCCGTACTCAGGAGCATGGAGATCATATGAGGAGGGGAGCTCAGCCCTCTGGACTCCCCACCGGAAAACATTTCCAGCACTTTGTCGGGCAAGGAAACAGACAACGTTTCTGACGCATCTTGGCTGACGTTGGGATGTGAGCAGGGCGAGAGAGCCGCAACAGGACTCCCTGAGCTGGAGTCGTCCGAGAGGGATGGCTGTGGCACAGGAGGGCTGCACTGGTACGTTAGCGGGTCAAAGTCCAGCCCACGAAGGCCAGGAGGACTCAATTCCAACTCCGAGTCCAGCTCCGAGTCCCCTTCCAGCCAAGAGGAACGCCGACGGGAGGCCACATCGTCTGTCCCAGTGGCCAAGCCTTCACCGTGGCCAGACACAGAAGAACCCAGAGAAGAACACGAGTGGCATTGTTTGAGGGTAGGGAAAGCATCACTGCTGGAATGTGGGCGTCTCAGGGAACGCAATTTGGGGAGACCTAAGGGCCAAGACCCAAAAGGAAAGAAATGATATGGATCGAAGTTCTCCAGTCTGTTTATTCAACAGGCTAGAGATCCCAAGAGTCAACACTGTGAAGAAGAATATCTCTGTCTCTGAAGAAGGAGTGGCTTGTATGGACCCAATTTTGTCTAACTATTTGCATTCACTTACCTGAAATGGTATAGGTTGTCCTGCTTGAGCAGGGGGCTGGACTAGAAGACCTCCAAGGTCCCTTCCAGCTCTATTTTATCCTATCCTATCCTATCTTATCCCATCCTATCGTAATTCTATTATTCTATTTTATTCTACTCTATTATTCTACTTTATATTATTCTATTCTACTCTATTATTGTACTCTACTCTATTATTCTATTCTTATTCTATTCTATTCTAATTCTACTCTATTATTTTACTCTACTATTAGAATTAGAATAGAAATATTATTCTATTCTACTCCATTATTCTCTATTCTATTCTATTCTAATTCTACTCTATTATTCTATTCTACTCTATTATTTTACTCTACTCTATTATTCTATTCTACTCCATTATTCTATTCCTATTCTATTCTATTCTATTCTATTCTAATTCTCCTCTATTATTTTATTCTACTATTAGAATTAAAATTAGAATAGGAATAGAGTAATATCTATTCCTATTCTATTCTAATTCTATTATTTTACTCTACTCTATTATTCTATTCTACTCCATTATTCTATTTCTATTCTATTTCTATTCTACTCCATTATTCTATTTCTATTCTATTTCTATTCTACTCCATTATTCTATTTCTATTCTATTCTATTCTATTCTATTTCTATTCTATTTCTATTCTATTCTAATTCTACTCTATTATTCTATTCTACTCTATTATTTTACTCTATTATTCTATTCCTATTCTATTCTAATTCTATTATTCTATTCTATTATACTCTATTATTCTATTTTACTCTATCATTCTATTCTACTTTATTCTCTACTCTATTCTCTATCCTATCCTATTCTATAGGAGCTTCACAAAAAGATGGTGGTATCTGTATTCCCACTGCAGGAGTTGTAACTCAACAAAGAACATCCTTCACATTCAGAGGGTTTTAAGGCTAACGCCTAACATGATCAGGTAACATAAAACCTGGAGAGCAGCTGCCATTCAAATCAGAAAATGATCAGCCCCTAGTTTTGACAGCAGGTGAAGGTCATCACTCTGGGACACTCAACAGACAAAATGCTCCTAGTTTCTTACACATCTGGTTTAATGCCAAACCCTGCAATTGAGAGCAATGAGAAAATGTCCTACAGATCGATATTCACATTGCTTGAGGGATGAAACCAGCTCCTGATTCAGAAAAGCTGCAGTTGTCCTAAAGCCAGTGATCCCCAACCTTTTTTATGCCGCGGCCCGGTACCGGCATCAGCTGGG